AGGCAGTTGTATGAAAATGGCTTAGTCCTGCACATGACTTAATAAAAGTCATAGATTCCCCACTCCATCTTTCGGAGGCCACCTCGTTGATCTTGTCTGTCCGTTCTGCTTGGTCTCTATATATCCCAGTATTACCGCTAAATGGCTCTCTCCTGAGCTAGAGCTGCACTCAGATACCTTGGCTAGCTCCCCACTAGCTAAATGAAAACTCAGTCTGCTCTGTCCTGTACGGACAGTCTCAAGGGTCTCCCCTTCCGCCAGTGAGACCTCTTCTGTCCCCCACCGGGCTGGAGCTTCCAGCACAGCTGTCCCTCCATCTGAGGCCTTGGCTCCTGTGCCCGTCTTCCCACCGTGACTGCTACACGGTAAGAATGCCCTCCTTACTCCTCTCAGGCTGCGGTAAACCCATAGTGAGATGTTCATCTCCGCAGGAAGTTCTTTTACCACCCCTATTCAGGGTCATATCCTTTGCCCAGGTAACCTGTAGCTTGGTGTGTTCCTGCACCCCCCTCAATGCCTTTAGACATTTACATTTCAGATTTTTCAGACTGGAGCCTTTTAGATGACAGACAAGGACTTCATTCTTCTCGCAGCCAAGGCTGTCGCGCTGGTTTGTGGCCAATGAGGGTGGCTAATTATGCAAAGAGACAATCAGCCCTACAGCTTGAAGCTCCTCAGATTGGAGGACAGGAAAAGGGTCAAATAACTCTGAGCTTCCCTGGGCACTTTTTCAGGTGGGGCAGCGCTTTTCAAGAGCAATCTTTCCCCACCTCTATTCCTTAAATCTGCCGTACTGACACCGGCACAGCTTCCCTGGACATTCATGGGAGGATCCCTGCCGCTCCTGGGCACTCATGTGAGGCCCTAAAGGTTTACTGCAGTAGCTCTTCCCATGACCTTGTCTGCCCCAGGGACTCAGGAGGTATGGAAAATAGTAAGGGAATAAAGGTCCCCATTGCGCAGCCTGAAACCCTGAGACCCAAACAGGGTAGGGAAAAGACAGCAGCGCCGATTGGTCTTCTTAGAGAATAGGATCTAATACCAGCCACAAAGACAGAAGCATCTTAAGTATATAGCAATTGGTTAAGAAATGGTGTCCAAATGAAACCATCTTTTCTTTCCTTAGGTCATTCAGTATCCTACTACTGACTGAAAACATTTCGGAAGCAAGGCTTGATGTCTCAGCCTCTTGCTTCTTGCCTACTTGGGTGGTTTACTCCTTAGCCTACGTATCATCATTGACTCAATTAGCCAAGTTAAAAAAATCTTAGGATCACCCTTGACTGGTTACCTCACTCTTCAAATCTAATCAGTGACAAAGTGTTAATTGGCCACATATTCTAAAGACTTCATGCCTGGTTCCTTGTCAGTATGTGACCTTAAATGTCCTGCAAAGACTCACATGTTGTAGATATGGTCACTGGGTGGTGATGCTGTTGGATGCGGTGAAGTATTAGGAGGTTGGTGTGCTGGGAGAGACTGGGTTCCTGAGGATGTTGTTCTTGAAAAGCACACGGGGACCTTGGTTCTTGCTTCATTCCTTCTTTGCTTCCCGGCTGCCATGAGGTGAGCGCCTTTGATTCACAACATGTACGCCATGATGATTTTTTTTGCCTTTTCCTTGGCTCAACCAGATGGAGCCAATGATCTCTGACTGAAAATTGGGAAACTGTAAGCCAAGATAAAATTTTCTTCTTTTAAGAAGGTTTTCTTGCATATTTTGTCACAAAAAAAAAAAAAAACAGAGCCTTGATTTATTTTAGGCTTTCATTTTCTTCTGTTTGGCCCTCAATACAGACTTCTGACCTTCTCTCTCCATCCACATTTCGCTTGTTGCCTCATGTGTCTTTCTAAAATCTGGTACATCATAACCATGCTTGGTACCCTCCATTGTTTTTCTATTACCCAAAGAATTTACTATAGACCCTACAGTGAACCCATCCTAGAGTACCAGGCTCACATCTACTCTGTCACACTTGTACCTTGTACTGCAAACATCTTAGGGGATTTCATGCCTCTGTGTCTCTGTATACATCATTCCCTTTCCTCTAGCTTACCTGGTATGATGTACTTTGGAGGTAATCCCCTATGAAACTTATCTTGACTCCCTCTGGCAAAATTCATTACCTCCTCTCTGTGTTCCCTCAGCCATCAGTACAAACCTTAGTCAGCATTTGGCTGTGTATATTTTACTTATCTGTTTTCACATCTGCCTCATTCACCCGTGCTGTAGTCACCTGGAATTCCCCAATTGCATCATCCAGAGAGTAGAGCTCCGCCCTAGACGCTGGGGGAATGAGCGGGTGCGTTTCCTGTCCTGTGTTGCACGTTCCTCTCTTGTTCTGTGTAAGAGTTGTGTCAATAGACTAAACAGAGCAAGCCTAGGTTGGACAATAACATCTCCGAACCTGTTAAGCGCTCTATTGTGTACCCAGCAAAACACACCTCTCAGATCCTGGGAGGTGGGGCATCCTGAAGTGAGCTGAGGTGAGCAGGTGAGAAGTGCACTCACTCTCAGAGAGGCTTGTGTGTGGAACACCCTGCTGATTTGAACTTGGATGCTAGTCACCCATAAAATGCTGCCTGGAATCTCTCTGGGGCTGGCTCAGGTCACAGAACATGTGCAGACTGTCTGCTAAGCCGCGCTTGGTTAGAACAGCAGTTCCCAGTTTGCCACAGGTGTACAGCTTAGGCTCACGGGTCACTGGATATTTTAGGAAAATACGAGAGCAAGCAGTCCAAGATCTTTCTGGCCACTCACAGTATGGGAGCCTGTTTGCTCACATGGCTCAGACTCTGCAGGGGATGCACAGCTGAGTGGCCTTTCCATCCTCCTGGCTCTCTCCCAGAGGAACCATTTTCTCAGCTTCCAGTGGCTCTGCACCAGTCTCCAGGGCAAGTGGGACTTGGTGTCAAGAGACTTGGAGTCCCTGATAGAGTTGGAGCTCTGGGCCAACTTTAGAGAGACCAGCCTTGACAATTTCCCAGGAGGCCATAGGTCTATTTGGATTGTAAGAACAAAGGAGTAAACAAAGGAATTTTCCCTTACGACATTAAACGCTTTATAGTAGTCTAGCCTCTTGTCAGCTTCCCCCAAACCCGCTGTAGGAGTTTCCGCGTATTTACCCCTGAGTATGGACTTGAAAAAGTTCCTCCCTGTAGTCAGACTTTGCTAGGTAAAAACACCCGGGTGTCAGACAATGACAATGACAGCCAAGGACTGCCTGCCGGATGAGCTCCTCTTAGGAAGGCTGGCGGCCACTGCAGAAGAAAACGCTTTTCAAACAGAGACAGATGAAGAGCAGGGAATGATGTGGTGGGACATGCCAAGTGGCCATTCTCTGCCCACGTGGACTTCCAGGATGCAGGTGGTGTTGACAAGGCGGAAGGGGGAAACTGGTAAAGTGATGAAGTGGTGACGGGGGAGAGGTTTCTGCTGAGAGCTCTAGCAAGGGTGAGGAGAGCACTTCTAAACCGTGAAAACTCGTCTCGAACTCTGTGCCATCAAATAAGTGCCTGGGTCAGTCTCTGTGGGCCAGAGGTACTTCGTGTCTGCCTGGGCAAACGGCAGCGGCATTTTTTCATCAGTATCTTTAGGGGCGAAAGTGTATTCTAAGACACAGGTGTGCTTGGCAACGAGAACACATTGGGTTACCTCATTCGATTAATGGCTGTTTTTATTTAATGGTGAAATGGGCTATGGGAAAGACAGACACGCTACGCTGGGCAGAGGGAGTTGAGAGCCTCGGTGGCTGCTCCTAGCTTTCGGCACAGGTTTCCCTGGATCCAGGCCCTCTGGATTGACTCTTGGGCACACATCGTGGAAGCCTTGCTTCCAGATTCCAAGATCGGGACTGCCAAAGGTCTGCTGGCTGCACCCTGGGGTGGAGGCAGAGATTCAAAGGGCGTAGGCTTGGCCAGGCAACCACATCGCAAAGCCAAATCAAGTGTCCACATAGGCTCACCCGCCAGAACACAGGGAGTCTTAGCTCACTGGATCCCCACAGAAGTCTTCTCAAATAGCTCACTTGATCTTTTCGGCACACGCTCGCTCACTCACTCAGTCACTCACTCACTCAGAGATTAAATGCCTACTCAGCAATATTCGCCAAGCCCTGCCATAGGGATTAGGAACATAATAAGGCAGGCTATGTCTTTAAAGATGCTCTGAGCCAAGTAAGGGGAATAGACAAAAATATTCTCTTGGATACCATGGTGTAAAAACACACCATGTTTGTAATGGAGGCTTGTAATGGATGCTGTGACAACTAGATTTGACCTTGAAGAAAAGTCCAGGCAAGGCTCCCATTGGTATTGAAGAATAACTAGGAGTGAATCAAATTACAAGGAGGCAATGGTGGGGCTCAGATCCAAGGAAGTGAGAGCCAGTATCAACAACAAGCTGTATGGGGACACCAGGACACATCTATTAGCATGGCTGAGATGAGAAAGGTTTCTCAAAGTAAGTGCTGGGAAGTGTAGAAGGAGACAGGCTCTCACACGCTGTTGGCAGGAAAGTTAAATGTCACTTCTGTTTTGGAGACTGGCTGGGCTTGGATTTGAATCTACCCAACCATACGATCCAGCAATCCTACTACTGAATTCGGTGGGAACAGATTTGGATTTTAGAGGAGCACCAGAGCAGCCCTGAGGGTGTTAGAATCCGTGTGTTCAGTCTTCATAACGTTCTTTTTTATTGTTGAGAACAGTCAGTCATGTTGAAATATGTTATCTGAGTCACTATTTCCCATTGCAGGAGTTAGGCAATATTAGGTTTTTTTGTTTGGTTTTGTTTTTTAATTTAATTTTTAAATTATTTTTAATTTTAATTTTTATTTGTTTATTTACTTTACATCCCCCAAGGGCGCCCCTCCCTCTTCTTCTTCCAGTCCCCCTTTTCACTCCTTTCCCCTTCCCCTCTCCCTTTCCCAAAGAAAAGGATAGCCCTCCCCACCCCGCATCAACCCTCCCCAGCACATCAAGTCACACCAGGACTGAACATATCCTCATTCCCTGAGGCCGGGCAAGGCAGCCCTCCCATGAAGAAGTGATCCAAAAGCAATAGAGTCCATGTTAGAAATGCCACCCCTCTCCATTTGCCAGAGACCCACATGAAAACCAAGCCGCCTATCGGGCACATATGGACAGGGGGCCTAGGTCCAGATCATGCATGCTCCGTGGTTGATGTCTCAATCTCTGAAAGCCCCCATGGGACTGGTTAGTTGTCTCTGTTGGTCTTCTTGTGAGGTTCCTGTCCCCACCCCCCAGGTCCTTCCATCTTTCCCTCAACACTTCCACGGGACCCCTAGAGCTCTGCCCCATGCTTGGCTGCAAGTCCCAGCATCTGTCTCCATCAGTTGCTGGCTGGAGCCTCCCAGAGGACAGTCAAGTTAGGTTCCTGTCTGAAAGCGCAACAGAGCATCATTATTAGTGCTAGGGCCTGGCTCTCTATCGTGGGGTGGGTCTCAGGTTGGGCCAATCATTGGTTGGACATTCCCTCAATCTTTGTTCCCTCATTATCTCTGCACTTCTTGTAGGCAGAATAATCATTGGATCACAGGTTTTTGTTGGTAGATTGCTTTCCTCTCCTTCCACCAGTCCTGCCTGGCTAGGAGGTGGTCCCTTCAGTCCTCCTGTCCCCTACCCCTGTTAGAAGTGTCAGCTACAGTCACACCCATGTCCTCCCTGGAGCCTACAAAGAGATGTCCTGGTGTTTTGTTAATGGGTAGAATTCTGAATGAACAATGTCAGGCATCCAAGAGTTTTGTCTCTGCTGCATGAGCTCCCAGGGTCAGGATACCCGAATTCTTGAGTGCCTTTGTGCTTCACCTAACAAGCTCTGTTCGGTCTGCCTGGCATTTGTATAATTCGTCAATGGTATGTATATTATTAGTTGCTTTTCAAAGAGCAGAGAAGGGTAAATCCAATTGGTGAACTAGCTAACCGGGGAAGGACAAATGAACTACAGTTAGTGTGTGCTCCCTTGACCCTTTCCTAATCTAGTGGTTCCTGCCCTTTTGCTGGTTCTGTAAACATCTCCCTCCTCATTTTGTCTTACTTGTCCTCACCTAGAACACGGTCTTGAGAACCCCCACTGTGGGTCAGAGACACTGCTAGCAGCCAGAGACTATGGAAGCACAAATCCCCTCTTGGTAGGGGTGCTCTGGTTGTAGGGACCTCCTCAGTTCTTTCTGTCTGTCTCATAGACCTGGAAAAAAAAAGAAAAACTCAAGTGAAGAAAGACTGAATCAGAAAAGAAAAGAAAAAGTGTCAAAGCCGGGCTAGGATTCCAACAAGAATTGTGACTCAGCCTCCAGGACCACGGAGGGAATGGTTCACTGCGTGGTATGGCGTTTGGCTGGGCTGGCTGCCTGGGAAGAGGCCTGAAGTTAAGTAACCAGCACAGCGGGGGAAGGAGTGCAAGATTCAGTGCTTAGCAAGGGCGCTGAGGGCTCCACAGGGAAAATGACAAGCTGGAACAGAAGAATTCAGAAGCGAGACCATTTGATGAGAAACGACTCATACTTTTTGAGTTGTTTTTTTTTTCTATGCGGTTGCCAAAGTTTAAGTTGCTGGAAGAGAGCATACGAGGGAAAAACAAAAACAAAAAAAAAAACAACAACAACTTTGGGGGATGGTTACTCAAGCTATTAAAAAACAAGCAAACAAACGAACTGTCATTTAGCAGGACAAGAGAGGTGGGCTGTGGCATTTCAAGGTGTTCTAGCACCCCTCCTTGCCCTCCCTTTAGCCCAGGGGTTCTCAAGCTGTGGGTGGTGACCCCTTTGAGGATTGAATGACCTTTTCACAGGATCTGCACATCCGATATCCTGTACACCCGATAGTCACGTTACGGTTCACAACAGTAGCAAAATTACAGTTATGAAGTAGCAACGAAAATAATTTTGGTTGGGGGTCACCACAACATGAGTTGCTGTGTTGAAGTGTGGTGTCATTTCAGGCCCTCCCAGAAGCACATGACTCAGGCCTGTGCCCAGGAAAGCCTGTAGATGCTGGCTATGTTAGCCCAGTGAACCAAGAAGGGCGCTGGAGCAGCGGGGGACTGTGGGCAGGGAACCATCTCAGCAGGCGGCCATCATGGGGCTGGAGGCAAACGATGCCCACGGGATTGGACATTACAAGGTTGGCACCAGGGGGAGTGTGAAAACAATTTCTGTCAGACATTTCTCTGAGAGGCTGGGGTAACCTGATGAAGACAGTGCTTTCCAGATAAACATGGTGACCTGAGTTCAAGTCCCAGAACCTACGTTAAAAAAAAAAAAAAAAAAAAAGGCCAGGTGGTGTGAGTGGTGCGTGGACAGATGGAGGCAGGTTGATCCCACCAGCTCACGAGCCAGCCTTTCAACAGTCACAGGCCAAAGAGAGACCCTGCTTCAAACAAGCAAGGTAGAGGACATCTGAGGGAGAGCCGTAGAGGTTGCCCTTTGACCTCGACATGAGCACACGTGTATACATGTACCCTCACATTTGTACCTCCATTTACATGAACATGCACACACACACACACACACACACACACACGAAATCTCACTGTGTTTAAATACTTGAAAGCCGATGAGTTTTAACAATAAATATGTTTTATCTGCTTACAGTTTGCACTGACCAAATGAAATAAAGCTTTGCGCTGGACTGTCCTGTGGGTCTGTCCTCTGCATTTACATACTAAGTAATACCATGCTCCTTTTTTTCACTCTGGTTTATTCATTCTGGTTTCTCATGACCCAGGCTAACGAATGACGTTATAGATGTGATAATGGCTTAAAGGAAACAGATTACACTTTGCCTTCATAGCCTCCAGTCCCTGACATAGTGAGGCTGATGGGAAAAATTAAGGCCCTACGGGGGACGATTGACCATCAGCTGGGCTGGGCATCAGACTGACCCGAGGACTTCACAAACAGTAAGGACAGTCTATGAGCTCTGAGCATGTGCAGGCTCAGCTCCCTTTCTAGGGGACCCTAAAAGACTCAGTGATTATTCATGGTTGGCCTCACATGGGTTTGGGGCTTGAGCCTAGAGAAGGGATGGCTCTGGGGAAAGTCTTATTGAAAGACAGGAGTGGCCGACCCGCAAACACTCTGAGGAGATTGGTTGAAAGTTAAGGTTCCATGCTGTCCCAAATGGCAGCCACTAGACACATGTAGGCAAATTTGATTAAAATGAAAGGAAATGAAAAAAAAAAATTAGAAGCTCACTTGTTCTGAGCACGCGCCACGTGCTCAGAAGTCATGCCGGGCTGGTAGATGCGCTGTTACACTGTGCAGATGTGGGACACCCAATCAATCCAGCATGTTCTGTCAAACAGTGCTAGGGGACGACCAGCCTCTGGAGGAAGCAGGGCCAGAAGTCAGAGCACAGAGGTCCAGCTCTAGGACCTTGAGATAAGGCTTTAATTTGTCTGGGTCTCGTTTATCCAGGGAGAAAATGCATACGATAGCATGTGCCACACCATTCCTTAAGAATCAAAAGAAGCTGCAAGTATAGTCACCCTCTTGGGGGGCATCCTTGGGGGATTGTTTCCAGGATACCCCTCCCCAGGATACTAGAACCCGCAGATGCTCAGGTTTCTCATAGAAAGTGAGGCTGTATTTATATGTAGCCTAAGCACATTCTCCCATGTATTTTAAATGATCTCGAAATTTCTCTTACTGCTCAATATGATGAAAATGCCCGGCAGCTGATTTATTATTCTCCATTGTTGATGGGATAAAAGAGTTCTGTACATCTTCAATACAAACGCTTAACTCCCCAAATGTTTTCAGGGTGAGGTTCATTGAATGTCCAACTGTGGAGCCTGTGGACATGGGCGGGCTGAGTGTATATTGTTATTACTATAATTATCAATTATAATTATCAATATTAACAGGTCCTTCACTCTCCTAGCCAAATGCTGTCAGGCATGAAGAGCTAGACCTCGCAGGCTGGAGGGCCTGCTTCCTTTACTAGCTACCCAGTCCGGATCTTGCATTTTGCTGACCTAACTCTGTTTTCTAGGATAAAAATATCCTAGAAAAATATCCCACGAAGGCTGGGAGGAGAGCACGCTGCCCGTGAGTTGTGGGGTCCCGCAGGCTTGGGAAACGTGGTGTGTGAAAGGTTAGATGAGCCTCACAGAGAAGAATCTCCTCTCACTAGATTCCAAACACGCTCTTCTACGTTCACTTCAGTGCGGCGTGAACCCTCTCATCCCACCTGTGTCTCTAGTAGGCCCTGTTGACGTCTTAGCACTGAGACGGAGATTGAACCCACTCTGACGGAGGAAAGTAGCAAGCTTCCTTCCTTTATGTTAAAATTTAAAGAAACTACATTTGTTAATGTTTTCGTGGGGTGGGGAGTGCGCCCCCCAAGGTGTGCTGCTAATGTCTCAGTCTGAGTATAGGTTGTAGTAGTCTGTTCTCGCCTTTCACTTTCACTGGGATCTAGGGATTGAACTCAGGCCATCAGGCTTGGCTGCAGGGCTTGGCTGCAAGGGCTGTTACCCACCGAGCCATCTCATCTGTTATCAGTTACCTCTCTTCCGTTATCTGTTAGCCGTATCAGTAAGTCTCAGGATGTTCGGTAAACCACCAAGACATCCCGAAGCTTACAAAATATTGCTTCACAGCATGCGAGCCTGCTCCACTTGGGTGGGAAAATGCTGGCTGTCATACCTGGAGGTTGATGAGAAAGGAAGAGGCTACCCTGAAGGCCCTGCTGGTCAAGCTCTGTGAGACTCGCTCATGCCCAGGGACCTCTGGGCAGCCCTTGCTGATTCCTTTCTGGCTGACAGAGTTGGTTTCCTTCCTGTGGACCCTCTCTCCATTGTCATCTGGGCACTCCCTATCATGGCTCCTGGCTTGTGGCTTCCACTGGACCAAAAGCAGGGAGGAAACGGAGATTGGCAGGTAGGCTCCCCATAAGTTAGCTGTGTTAGTTACTTTTCTGTGACAAAACTGATTTAAGGAAAGCCTTATTTGGGTCCATAGTTTGAGGGTACAGTCCATCACCACAGGATGTCAGGGAGGCAAAAGTGGAAGGCACTCGTCACATCGTCACATTGTGCCCTATAGTCAGGAAGCACAGATATGAATGCAAGTGTTTAGCTTGCTTTCTTTTTCTTTAGTCCATGGTGCCAACCTATGGACTGGTACCTTCCACAATTAAGTTCTTCTCAGCTCAAGTAACGTCATCTAAATTCTCCCTCACAGACTGCCCAGAGGCTTGTCTACGTGATTATAGATCTATCAAGTTAATGTATTAACCATTATAATTATCAAATTGATTATTAAATCCATTGTAGATTATAATGGTACTCATTAAACCCAACCCTTCCTCACTGCCCAGGCTAAAGCTTCTATTTGTTTACTAGAGTTACCGTGTCAAATTACTATATACTTGTGGCTTAACACAACAGAAACGCACTTTTCTTACTGTCTAGAAGCTAGAAGTGTGCTATAAAGGCATTAGCAAGGTTGATTCTGGAAACTCTGGGGAGAATCTGTTCCATGCCTGTCTCCTATGCTTCTGGAGGCTCATAGCAATGCCTGCTGTTTCTTACTGTCTTAGAGTTTCTGTTGCTGTGATGAAATACCATAACCAAAAGCAAGTTGGGGAAGAAAGGGTTAACGTAGCTTACATTCCCTCACCACGGTTCATCATTGAAGGGATTCAGGACAGGAACTCAAGCAGGGCAGGAACATGGAGTCATGAGCTGATGCAGAGGCCATGGAGCGGTGCTGCTTACTGGCTTGCTCCTCAGAGTTTGCGCAACGCAGCCTGCTTTCTTACAGAACGAAGAGTGGCACCACCCACAATGGGCTGGGCCCTTCCACATCAATCACTAATTAAGAAAATGCTGTGTAGGTTTGTTTGCCTACAGCTTGATCTTATGGAAGCATGTTATCAATGGAGGTTTCCTCTTTTCAGGTGACTTTAGCTTGTAAGTTGGGGTTACATCATTCCAAACTCTGCCTCCATCTTTAAATGGTCTCTTTCCCATGTGTCAGCTCAGAGTTGCCACACATACCAAACACCCATGTGTTTATTTTACATGAGTTTTCACCCATGTGAAAGTTTCTCTTTCTGCATTGTCGTATCATGCTTTCACAAAAGTCATCCACCCCGTTCTTCTTACTTTGTTTTTGTTGTTGTTGTTTTGTTTTGTTTTTACAATCATCCAAACAATTTTTTTTTCTAACAATTTGGACTTATACCTCTGAGCATCAGTAATTTTGCTAGCAGACATTAACTGGACATCCTTCAAGACTGGTGAGATTCTCTCAGCTGAAGAAGGCAGAGGAACATTTCAGGTAGTGAGAACACAAGAAACAACACCGTTCTTTTGAAGAACAGAAAGAATATGTAACCCTCATCCCCTGTTTCTCATCTTTCTCGTACCAACAAGTCGTGGACTTCACAAACTACCCATTCAGTCACAGTGTGCTTGGCCAATATGTATCAAGTTGTCCAGGCTAGAACTGAAAACAAGAAACTTGCCTGGAGGAGGTATCTGTGCTGTGAGCAGAATGCCAGTGTTAAGCAAAAACAAAAACAAAAACACAAAACAAAACAAAAACAAAAAACTGAAACAAACAAACAAGCAACCCAGGAACACATCCCTGTGGCTAAGGGTCTTCGGATGAATTTTATGAGGACCGTGAATCTTGCTTAGCTGCTGCTCCTGAAGTGAGAGGGGTGCAGAAGTGCTGCTCTGGAAAACTGAACTAGAAAACCATCCTGCTCTCCTTTCAACACTGGAGATAAAGGAGAATGTCCAGCTTTGAGTGGTATGACCGAAGCGGTCTGGAGCTATGGCCTGCTGTTCTAGCATGTCTTTTCCCAAAACAAAACAAAACAAAACAAAACAAATTCTCCTCTTCATGGTTCTCTCATACACCTTCACCCTTCCTTTCCAAACCCCAACTGTGCTCTGTACTAGGGAAATACTGCTGCATAGGATAATTTGTTCAGGTATTTTTCTTTCTGTCTCTGATAACTTTTGATGGGGTACTGAAGGCTTAATGACTTTTCCCTTAATACAGAGTGTGCAAACCAGGGAGGGCAGAGGAAAAGTCTGCCAGGTGGCATGGCTGAAACAACCCGCTCTGCTGTTTTCTGTTTTTTTTCTGCTTCCTGAACAAAAAAGAAAAGAGAAAAGACAAGCACAACATGAACCCACACAGGAGGAAGAGCTTGCAGAAAAGAAAGAAAATGCCAAGAGGTTATCTTGATAAATGTCAAATCTGTACACCTACAGAGGAGATGTTTCCTGGGACTTTTTTTGGGGGGAAATCGAAAGACTAATGCTGTCTTATCAATAGCTGTGTCAGCAGAAGGCAGAAAATACTTCCTGAAGATTAAAATTCAAATAGATATAGGTGACTTAGTCATATACCTGGCAGAAACAAAACCTCAGCTGGCTTTCAGGATTTCAGGATTGCTTCTTAGAGGAAGCAATATCTGAGAACATCAGAATTTATATCCAAACGATTTGGTGCTAAGGCGTGCTGAAAGTACTCGCTAATAAATACTTCAGATACTGAGGAAGATGAGTCTGGCACACTTATGTGGAGAGAAAGGCGTTTTGTATTCTCAGTCCAGCGGTCAGCGATGCATTTCACTATGCATTAGGGATCTCTCAGCTCACATTTGTTTTCCAAAATAAAAACATACTTTTCTCTCTTAAACTTGGCTTGAGAAGTCCTTTTGCAACTTACACATGGAAGAAGGGAAGAAATATGCATGGTATGCAGATTTTCAAATTATGTTCCCATTCAGATGAATTGCAAAGTGGATCATTCTTCTTATCCGACTAGGAAGAGAAATTAGGATTTGAAGACTCCCTTTTCCCAACTGGGATATGGAGTAAAGTTTTAAGAATGAAGGTGGAATCTTGCCAGGATGGGGTGGGGGTGGGTGCGGGTGCGGAGTAGGGTGGGGTGCTGGGGGTGAAAGCTTTGGGAACCTCCTGTCCTATAACTGAGGGAACTGTTCTCATCTGAAATCACATTTCTTGGATCAGTTGTGCCCAGGAAATTCGGGGATGGCAGGATGCAAATGCTAATTAAATTCAAGACAAAGGAAGCAGTTAAGGCAGAATAGGGGAAGGAGGAGGCTGTTGCCAGATAAATGAGATCATGAGTTGATGAGGCGAAGCTGGTTGTTCCAGGTGACAGGAGCTGTTAGAGTTGTCATTGCTTGCTTGCCTTTAGGGAGAGGAATAGAAAACTTAAGGGGACATAAACACCAAACAGCACAATATCTGCCCTCCAGACATTGCTTTAGAAGCCAAAAATGCTCCAAGAATATAGATTTCATTGTGAGTGGATTTCCTGAGGAGGACATTTAAAAGCCAGGAGTCATTGTACCTGGTATGGTGGAATGGGTACTGAACTATGGACCTTCAACAAATGTCTAAAGTTCTATCCCTTCTGACCCTGGAGACTCCACCTTATTTGGGAAAGACATCATTGAAGATGTAGTTAAGTCAAGCATTCCGAGGAACCACCAAGGTGGCTCTAATTTATCCTAGACCTGCAGAGGACATGGCCCCATGAAGACAGGCAGAGATGGACACCATCCATCCACACATCCAGGAGACACTGAGCGCTACTACAGCTAGGAGAACAAGGGAAAGAGTCTTTCTCTGGGATTTGACTGAACCCAGCTCTGCAAAGACCAGGCAGTTTTCTTTACAAATATTTATTTTTGTTTTATGTGTATAACTGTTTGTTTGCCTATGTGTATGTATGTGCACTATGTTCATGCCTGATGCCCATGAAAGACAGAAGAGAGCACTGGATCCCCTGAAACTGGAGTTACAGATGGTTGTGAGCCATCCTGTGGGTGCTGGGAAGGGAACCCAGGACCTCTGTAAGAGCATCCAATGCTCTTAACCACCAGGCCATCTGTCAATTTCCCCCTCCCCCACATTTTTCTTATAAACCTCTTGGTTTGATGCTGTGTTCCAGCAATGCTAGCGAACTAATACAGGGTGTGGCAGAAAAATAATAGGATCTTAATATGTAGGCAGACCTGACTTTGAATCCCCGGTTTTTCATCTTCTTAATCCTTTTGCAAGCTATTCTTCATCCATTCACTCTGGCTTATGCATCTGCACAGTTGCTAGGGGTGTGTGAGGCAAGGATTGATGACCTGGGCGGTAAGGGAAGCGTGGATGTTACATCCCAGCTACTCAGTAATGGCAGCTGATGTTATCACAGCAGCGATTCTTGCCCTTAGCCCAAAGCACCCAAATGGAACTTACACAATCGTTACTCTGCTTAGGAAGTTGTTCTCGTTCAGCGCCACACCCACCCTTTTAGAGTCCGCTAATCACTTGTCACTTCTGTCAACCAGGGGGCATTTTGGCAGCAAAACAGGACAACAAGGAAGCCCTGTGCTTCCTTGATCCCCTGAGAACATCACAAAATAGGTCTTTCACCCTGGAAGCAGTATTGGTTGAGTGAGTAGCAGCATACCTGTGTCACTGGACCAGCCGAGGTAGCGTAATGTCCTCTCCTTACATTCGGAGTCCCAGCGCCAGTCACTGCCAAGCTTCTAGAGTCTAATGACCCCAGCCCTATTCATGAGCCTACCCAGCCTCAGAGCTGCTGGTGCCATCAATAGTTTTGAGCCTTTGTTACTCAGTGTTACCTACTCATCTCTCAACAGCTCCAGGATTTAGTTACTTCCTCATGTAAACACTCTGTTAAAAATCACCAGTGGGGTTTCTGCGCTCTGATTGTACCCTGGCATATATGATATCCTCTGTGGGTTGCTGGCTGTCCCCCCCACCCCCACCTCCACCCCCACTGCCGCCGCCTGTGTGTATGTTATGTAATGGTTGGGGCAGCTGAATAAAGCACTGAATTAAAAACAGAAGATTTGTATTCTGGCTCCTTACTTTCTAGCTGAGAAGTCTTGGCCAGAATACTTGGCTTCTTTGAGACTCCAGCTTTCTTATTTGTGAAATGAGATTGTTAATGTTTATCTTGTAGTTGAATGAGGTAATGTCTAAGAAGTGCCTGGCATCTAATAAGTTTTCGAGAAATATTGGCTATTATGTTGTGTCTAAAATATAACTTTGAATCTGTATTTCACTCAGAGGGACTAATGGGATTTTTTGAGAAGGCCTGTACTCTATTTCAGTTCCCTTGGTTCATTTAGGGTGTTTGTTTTAGCGAAGAAGACTACGGCTCTTCTACCCTAATTGGTACGGATTCAGACTGACTTAAGAATGAGGCAGGGAGAGTGAAGAATGTGAAAGAAGTTGGTTTAAACTGCACAGTGACTCACAGTGCAAAACAAAGTCATTCACTGGGGACCACCACTGGGCCACCTGACGACATGTGTTTCATCATTGGCCTCTTGGCAAGCTTCCTCCTATGCATGCCCTTCTCGCTCTTTTTATAAAGAAGCTATGGCACCCATTGGGGTTGCGGAATGTGAATTAAAACTAAACAAATAAAATCGACATGAATAAATTGTTTAAGACTTAAAACTTACTTTGAAGTCACTCCCACATTTAAAGACTTCTCAATGTCAATGAATATGACCTACCAGTCAACAAACACACTCTCTAGGTATATATTGTCCAAACAAAAACATAATTCCTGTGAATGTGACCATTTTACAGTTCTTCCAGACTTGGCCATGGGCCACTGGAGAGTATATTTTAGAATCTAATATAAATGAGCTCCCCAGTTTTCTCTTCCCACTCAGTTCCTGATCCAGGGCCCTGT